AAGAGTTGGAGGTTGCTGTGAGCTGTGATGCCATGGCACTCTACCCAGGGTGACAGTTTGAGACTGTCTCAAAAAATAAAAGAAAATTTTCACATTGGATGTGATAGATACAAGCTTATTAGATAAAGTCAACCAAAATGTGTTGCACACTTACTTTGTATGAGGCATAATGTCAGGAACTACTGATACCCTTCCTGGTGAATGAGACAGACACATAGACTCACTCTTTGAGAAGCAAGGCATTCTTATATTGCCTTGAAGAATGGTCTTTGTCATTGAAGAGTGGTCTCTGAAAGACTCAAAAATATTTTGTCAGCCAAGTTAGGGTTTTTTTTTTCCCTGAAAAGCACTTGATTCAGTCTTTTCACACAATGACCTCCCCAGCTGGCTTCCTGAGGGCTTAGGGTAGCACAGAAATGTTCCTGTACATTAGGCTCAGCTGCCTTTTCTATATATTAGATTCTAACATTTACACTCAAATTAGAAGAAAAAAGCAGAAAAAATTTTAGAGACGTTAAATTTGAATATATATCTGCATTCTTTATGATTCTTTTCTATATTGGCCCAGACAATAACATCTTATATTTAATAAAAATGGTCTTTGCCCAAAGTGGCATTGCTGTACAGGGAGAAGGAGGGAAGCAGACCTTCCTGGATGTTTCATCTTTTCTGTACCATTTAAGTGCAATTCACTTAAAAAAAAATGGCTAGCATTTAAAACTAAAATTGTTTATATATTGAAAAGATTGTGACAACAATGATCTTTCTCTATATAAAATTTTATTTGTAAAAGAAGGGAATAAGTGCCACATGGTGGCAGCATTACTCAAATTACTGAAGTACTATTCGGTTATGTTAAACTCTCCTTGTTTCCATTAGTATTTAAAGAGAGTTGACTAACTTTATAATTTTTTTCCCTTGATTTTAATGAACAGTATGAAGAAGGATTCTCAAGGATCTCACCTTTGGGGTAGAGTGAGATGTTAATGTTGAGTGAATGTTAATGTAGTGGTATCAGTGAGCAAAGGCACCATCTTCTGTGCCATTTCCAGCCATAGAGGAGGTGTCATGGCCTTTCTCTTGTGGAGCAGAGCAGAGACCCACATTAGCTTGCAGAGCATATGCCCTGTATACGTTTTGACTTAGCAAACATTTTTCAGTTAGTGCTTTGTTGAACTAAAGTCAACCCCTAGGTATATCAGGAATGTGCTTAGTGAATCGTGCCACATCTGAAAATTAGTGGCTTTAACAAGTGCTTGTTTTTCTATCCTAATAGCCAAAATCCAGAGTTAGACAGCCTAGGGTTGGTCTGGTGGCTCCACAAAGTCTGCTTTTTCTTCCAACGTTACCTCCTATCTCCCTGAGAGTGTCGCCCTCATCCTTAATGTTTACAGGGTAGCTTTGCTCCAGCCATTACATCTGCATTTTATGTAGTGAAGGGGAAAGCCAGTGGGAAACAGCTAGCAGTCTCTGTTACAGGCACATTACCACTCTGGAAAAAATCTGCATACAGCTAGAATGAAGGGAATGGAGCGGTGTAATTATTAGGCTAAGATAAGCACTAAGTACCTAAGGGCTCAGGGG